ATAAAATATTAACAAATCATAAGTAACCTTCTTCTCATTTGTCTATCCAATTCTTCCGATGCCATGCAATCCAAATGGGTCATATCTAAAATGAACTTCATCATTAGGCATATGGTATCGTGCGAACTCATGCTTCTTCGTTCAAACGTTGTCGGATGCATATCTTGGTGGGTGTGGCCTAGATAGAAACAGCACAACTGGTGGATGCCAATTTTTTTAATGGCATATTAGTTATTTGGATATCCAAGAAACAAACATGCTTATCATTATCAACCCCTGAGGCCGAATACATATCTGGAGCTTCGTGCACATCTTAGGTCATTTGGATTCAAAGCCAGCTTCGTCACTATAGCTTGAGTATGAAACAAATTCCTCTTTACTGTGACACTGAAATTTCAATTTGCATTTGTCACAATCTAGTGCAAAACTCCAAGAAAAAACATATAGCACTGAGGTACTTCATTAAGGATTATGTGTAATATGGCAACGTTGAGATACATTTTGTAACATCCACTGATCGGTTAGCTCGGATACTCACAAAGGCACATCCTAAGACAACCTTTAAATAATTCTTCAAGGGCTAGGAATGATGGAAGATGAATCTGTACAAAAACCACTTTCACACTAATAATGAAGTAACTGTGAATCGGTGATGTAACACCGGAAAATTCAAAACAAATTTTCACATTTTTAAACACGTTTTACCAAACACATTTAACAACAAAATCCCATTGTATCATAGCTTTGGTTCACAAAATATTTCCAAAGATCAAAATACATAAAAATCCATGCGTGTGTACGAATCATGTCGGCACCTTCCCGCGATCATCACTGGTACGTGAAACACATAACACATAACACTATAAGCATAAAGCTTAGTGAGTTCCCCAAAATACCATACATAACCCATACTAGCCACTCAAGGCTATAACTCAGTAGGCTTGTGGGCCTTAACTTTGTGGACCCTCTGGTCCTAACTCTGTGAACCTTTCGGTTCTAACTCTGATATACTCTGATATAAATCACATAGAAACAATGCAGTACAACACATCACATAATAGCATACAAGATAACTCTAATTACCACTCCAGGTAAAGTATAGTGAGAAGACTCACCTCAGATGTCCCGGTAAATCACTGACTCGGTAGAAATACGATTTAGCCTCCGCCTAAACACATAAAGTAAAACTCTAAAAAATATAACTCTCATAACTAGACTCCACTCTCTCTAGGCACCCTAAGAAGTATAAAAGACCATTTTACCCCTCCTTTGGCTCAAAGGCCCTCATTGCTGACTAAACCTTAAAAGTCAACCAAAGTCAACGGTCAAACTTTGACCCAACTCGGCGAGTGCACTTGGGTAACTCGGCGAGTCCACCTGTGTCCACTTAACTCTTCAGTCCCATTTAACACGTCGAGTCCCTCCCTTTAGTCGACGAGTCCCCGAGTAAGAATCGCGGGGCCATCTCGACTCAACTCGTCGAGTCTCAAGAACAACTCGGCGAGTACATGCTATGCACAAACTCCATTGGCCTCCTGAGGTCAGATCTGTTCCTCTAATCCATAGATCTGGCCTTCCCAAGCATAATAATCATGTAAAGTCCAGACCGTGATACCCACATATCATCTAGATGGTTTCATTTGGTGATTAAGCCCCAAAAATGACATTCTAAGCTCATGAATCCCAAGATAATTCATAAAGCTCCAAGGGTTAAGGTCTCTGGACCTCTTTGAGTCCAGATCCAAAGCATAAACTCGATAAGGGACCAATTGCTCCACATAATCATCCTCAAAAGTGATTAGAAAACCCTAACTCTAAGAATCAATACCAAAACTGAAGAAGGTCCGAATAAATACCTCAAGTTGAAGTCTCTGGACTCTGAAACCACTAGAATCACACCTCCTTCAGTCTCCTCTTGCTCTTTATCACCTTCTTCTTAATAAACCAAAGATAGAAAGATCAAATATGGATTCTCCTTCCTCCCAAACGATCTAGCTCACTTAGGGTGCTCTCAAGGGACTGTTAGCTGCAATGGGAGGCTAAGAGTGCCCTTAAATAGGCTCCAACCCCGTAGGATTAGGGTTTCATTAAACAGCATGGACTCGCCGAGTCCACTCATGGGCTCGCCGAGTCCAAACGTGAGCCCAGATGAGAATCCGCGGCCCTACTCGGCGAGTCTAAGCATCAACTCGTCGAGTTCCTTCACAAATTCCAAAAATAAAATATTATAATAATATACCTGGGAATCTGGATGTTACAGGTGCGAATGTCTGCAACATTTCATAGACAATTGTTCATTCGCTATTCTCTTTATTGATGCGAATTTGTGTGAACGCTCGTAGTAGTTCACAGTTCTATGTGCATCCATGGTTTGGTTTCTTATATCCTTTTGTACTTTATGTATACTTTATCTTATCTTTGTTTTGTTCCTACATCTCTTTTTTCTGTTATTAATTCTTTTTCAGAAAAACTCAAAATCCAAAATTCTCTATTTTCTACTATTTTTATTTTCTTTTTAGATAAACAAAATTACAAAAATAGTTTCTTTGTGTTTTCATTTCATGTTTCTTTTACATTTTCACATATCATAAAATAACAAAATATTAGGCACATATAAAGCCCATGGAGTATGTTCATGATTTCTATCAATTCGGGTGAGGGGCAGGTATAAAGTTCTTTGTCTTTGTATTCGCTAAGTGTCCCTAGAAGCATGTTGCTGCATGTTGTCTAAAACCTCAATCCACTTTATGCAAAGCCAAAATGAATTGAATCTACCATTCGTTTTTTGCCAATAAGGCTGCTAAATTCACATTAGTCATGAGCTATCTTACTCTTCTCACATCAAGTTAAGAGTTATCTGCTTGGTCACATTTGTTTCGTAGAGGTACTTTTGGTTCATTAACCATCTTCACTCTTCTCCATTTTCCTTCGCACTCATAATTGTAACCCTTGAGACTCTCAGCTATACCACTGAGGTTTATGCTGACGAAACATCTGAGTTTATGATCTTAACTTCGTTCATCAAAAACTAAGTGAAACCCAAAATCCAACACACTTACAAGAATTCACGGTGAACAATTAAAAGTTCTAGATTTTCACCATGGAATTAATGATAGCCACGTTCGTGGTTTGTACCTCGTAATCTCATCTCTTTTGTGCGATCTTTATGAAGTGTTCTATCACCTAGTCACTTCTTCCCAAAAGATCATGTTTTATTTTTGTTTGAGATTTCAAAGTTTTACCTTGTTACCAAAATAATTCCAAACATACTCGTTCAACTAACTACACTAGTCACACGAGTACTTCATAAGACATTCGTTCTTATATCAAGTTCGTTGTCTGGTTGGAGAGTTAGCCAGCCATTGAGTCAAATTAAAAGAAGCCTTTCAGTGTTTCTTATCAGACATATGATCATATTTCAACAGGAATCTACATAGACACTTCATAGTCTCTCTTAAGTTTGAAGGAAGAAATGTATGCCCAGGATTAACTATTTTATGTCTTCTTATAGACATCACAAATTTCCAACATATACTTTGTTTTATTTCTATATCTTTGGCACTCTTGCACGAAGGTCCTCACGATCTTCAGAAAGTCTTGTCATTGGTTCTTAATATTTACTTTCAGGTTCACAGTGTAGCCTAGTTTTCTAAAATTAAGGATCGCAATAGTTGGGGAAACGATCGTTTAACTGCAAAAGGTGGATGATGATGCGGCAATTTCTTGCGATAAAAATTAAAAAGGGCGTGTGCAGAATTTGAATGACTAGCTATTTTTTTGCCGCATGAAGCACATCTATAGTTGTCAAGTCGCACTTTTTCAGGTGACATTTCAGTACCCAATGTATTATCATATGGGGTACAAGGAGACTTTGTCCATACTCTCGAAATTTTGCAAATCCAATCTACCTTCACAATGGAATGGTTTATTCACTCTTCTGCTCAAACGGTTTTCTAAACGGATTACAAGGTTAGACTGTGCTAGTAAGTTGTTCATAACTCTTCTTTAAGGCCTCTACACAGGACTGAATATGGATTTTGGAGTTGTTCTCTAGGCTCAAGTGATCCAAATTACTCTATCAACAACTCCTTACAACGAAATATCTTGTGCGAGATTCTGGTCCTTGGTTGTTCAGAGGGCTATCATCAAGCACAACATTCTAACAATGAAGGATGCTCTTGTTTGCTCTGTTTCAACTTTTCACGCCACATGGATAATCATTGTAGACAACTCTAAATTCTCCTTCATTGGATCTATACCAGAGGTCATGTTTCATGATGTGCCTGCTTCAAGTAAGATTTTGGAAGGGTTTCATAAACTTACCCCTTCGGGATTCCATCCACAGACTGAAGAAATGCAAGCAACAATAAACGTTTTTAATAAGCCAAAGAAGGGAGGTAAGGGTTCTAAGAAAGGTGACAAGAAGACTGCTGCCAAAGAAGGTCCATCCGGTGCTGCAAAACCTTCTCGTAAAAAGAGAAAGGCATCAGCAACATCTTCTAATTCCATTCTGAAAAGAAGGAAACAACCCGCTCGAAAAAGAAAAACTCTTACACCATCTGAGAGTGAGGATTGTGATTCTGAGATTGAGTTCAAAATTTGGGTTGAATAAAATCAACCTGTTCATAACCAGGAGGAAGTTCCAGTTCGTAATGAGGAAGGAGAGCATGTTCGTAATGATGAGCCTCCAGTTCGCAATGAAGAAGAAACTACGAACCCAGAGGTAAACAAATATTTCAATGAATCTGTTCCTTCATCTCCTCCTGCACCAAACACTACTTTAACCCCTATCACAGTTGAACCCTATCCTCCTCGTATTTCTTCATCTTAACCAACAAGTATTCCTCTCCCACTCCTATCTTAAGTGATTCAACTACAACACCCATTTCTTCAACAAACCCTGAAGTCACAGTCAACATATCTGATACGAGGGCTAACACTTCAGTCTTCCCCACCAATGTTTCTCCACCCATCTCCCTGTTCTCCAAGATGATCCAGCAATGATTTTCGGGGATGATGATGATGATGACCTTGGTGGATTCACCTATCGTCCATTTCAGATAAGGACTGAAAGTGAAGATGAAGCCACCGTTACGAAAAGGAAACTTAAGTCACTTCATGAGAAAATAGACCAACTCCTTCTTGCCTCCAAGGTATCCTCTTATGAAGCTTAATCAAAACCAACAGTTGAGTCTTTGTTTGAACGAATCAGAAAGGAACATGCAGAGAATGTTGTGAAAATGAACAAGGCGGTGCCTGAGTCTACTGATGTATGCAAATCAATGACTGAAAAAGTCGATAAACTAATCTCTGAAACAACCACCTTCATGGAGAATTATCGAACCACGTACAACAACACTACATCTGTGAATGATCTCTTTAGAACATGGGTGCTATGTTCAAAACTGAGAAGACAAACTTGGAGATGATTCGCACTGGCTTGCAGCAGGATTATGTCTCATTTCAAACATCCTTCACTTCACAAATTACAAAGCATCATGATGATTTGGCGATGGAAAGTAAGGTTATGGATGCTCTTGCCAGGAAAACAGAGAAGGTTAAAGTGTTAGACCTCAAGCTTCAACAATCTGAGAAAAAGGTCCAGGATTTTCTATCTAAGAGGGTAGTTGTGCGAAGCTGCATTTCTGATGTCACTGGCTTGCTCTTAGATATCATTCAGACCAGGGAATCAATGATCTTTGTCACTATTCGTAAGCACTTGGTTGACAAACTAAGCCCTGTATTTGCGATGTTGCACCATCTGTAGGATGTTTTTCCTCAAGGGTCTGATCAGAAACAAGGGGGAGAAGGTGGATCTGGAAAGTTGAACCTCCCAAAGTCCCAACAAATCCCATTTTCAAGAAAGAACCTAAGGGCAAAGAAAAGTTAATTAAAGAAGAGCCCATAATTGACGATGACGAAGATGAAGAGCCTGATGAAGCTGAACTTAAAAGGTGGAAGGCTCATGATGCTGAATTGAATGAAACTCAATGAATCGTCAGGGAGGCTAAGGAAAAGGAAGGGTAGAAAATGGAGCTCAGGCCACACTCAAAAGCAAAATGTTGTTATTTCCCAAGTGGACCCTGAAGCGAATCCAACATGATGTTGTAGATTTGCCAAACTAGTATTGTTTGGATCCTATTGCATCCATTGATCGTCAAAATTCTCAGGATTCGCAACTCAATCTTCCCATTACTCCGAAAGCATTCAGGTTTCGTGCTTTTGTGAAGGTTGTGAATGCTCCTTTCACAAAAAGTGGTGCTAATCAACTGTTGTTCTCCTTCTACTTGAAGCACATGAAGCCCCAATATGAAACTTGGAGTGTGCATAAAAAACTTGATGTGAATGTCAATGGGACAATTGAGACTGAAAGCTTCCCCAATGCAAAGTTCAAAGTAGCGAGAGGTTCGGCTTGTCTAGCCTACGAATTCACCCTTGCAGACTTGCCCTGTTTGAATCCCAATGACTAGATCATACTTTACAACATGTTGCTAAGAGAGAAACAGAAGTACGAACCTGTTATGTCCCATCTCCAACTGATGCTTAAGTCCAATATTCAAGAAGTTGGATTGAGGGATGTGGATATTGCTACACTTCTAAAGAACAATTCGACTGTTGTTCCCATGGAAGCTCTGAAAGACATAGAGAAATTAAAGCCAGGGAAGATATACAAGGAAGGATGGTTTATAGTGTACCAGACTAGAGAACAAATAGGAGATGACTTTTGCAAGTCTTACTTCTATCTCGAAGACAAACATCTATACAATATTGCCTGTTTGGAATTTATATTGGATTAAATACCAAGTTCAAGGGCAACCAAAAGGATGATTTCAAGTGCTTTTCGGATATGATTCTTTGGTATATTCAGGTTTACAAGATGTTTCTTTGCATTATTCCAAAAATATATGAAGTGTACAAGCGAATCACTGGTTGATCGGCTATTGCCTCAATTGATGCAAAGGGGGAGATTGTTTAGTATTTTGTTGTTGCATAATTGGGCTTTGTATTTAGTCTATTTTGTAAACGGGTTGGGCATGTCCTCCCGTAATTAATTCTAGGGTTAGAGTATATATGGTGCATGCATGCATCTTATTTTTGTTAACTCTCTCATTCATCTTGTAACACTAGCACGCCTCTACTGTTAAAATTCTTCATCGAGTTTAGCTGACGCATGACTTTTAGTCATTCAACATTTGTTTGATTATTACTGTGTTATTGCTTACGTGTTTGAATCTTATTGATCTTTAAGATTTTAATCTCTATAGCCAGAAAGATGCGAACAGGCTCCAGCCTTGATACTGGTAACAATGTTTCCTCATAGTCTATCCCTTTCTCTTAGCAATACCCTTTGACGACTAACTAAGATTTTTTTCGTATCACATTCCCCTATTTATCAAGCTAATTTTGGAAGATCCATTTAAGACCAACGACATATGCACCCTTTAAAGTTGGAATTAGCCTCCAAACCTAGTTACGTTCAAATTCATTGAGCTCGTCCTGTATTGCTTGCACCCAATCGGAATGATCAAGAGTAATCTTAACATTATTTGGTTCAATCTTGGAGATAAACGAATTGAACATGAAAAATTCCATTTTGGAGAATAATGCAGTCTGCTTTGCCTTTTTTTTTTTTATGCTATTGTAAGAACTCGTAAAGATGCACCTTCAATTACTTGCACTTTAGGATGATCTCGAGTCCATTTTGTCTACATGGGGTAATACAGATCATTGAATGGATCTAGTTTAGCATTCATGTCTTCAAATTCTAAATGAGCATCCGAATCATCGTTTGCATTTGCATTCTCCCCCTCGAATGATGGATTATGCTCTTCGTTAGGAATAGGATTTTGTCCTTGGAGAGGAATTTTGTGCTTTACGTGAGGATTTGAATCCTCAGCTTGAACATGTGTGCTAACTATGGAGGTTGATGTGAAACCCTCCCACTAAATTGGAGCAGTAGATGTAACGTCGTAAATTTTAAAACCAATTTTTCATTTTTGAAAACATCAAAAACATCGGTTAATATTTCAAATTCAAACGTAAACAATATTGTCACAACCGAATACATCACAAGATCATAAAATAGTTTTTCCCGATAATGTGTACGATCACACTGGCGCCTTCCCACGATCCTCGCTAGTACCTGAAACACATAACACAACAACTGTAAGCATAATTGCTTAGTGAGTTGCCCAAAATACAACCTATGCACATACGCCTTTCCAGGACCTGACCTTCCAGTCCATGTGTCTCAGGGGACTTCCGACCCGACTGGGTAAACCTTCCGGTCCTACCCACGTCAGCCTTACGGACCATATTACCACGCCTTCTGGCCCAATAACATATTCGCCTTCTGGCCCATAATATAATGCCTTCCGGCCCATATCAAACATATCATACATTGCACATATAACGATTAACTTATCACACATAATGCATATATCTCATATCATATTCGACCTTCCGGTCACACAGTTAAACCCTTCCGGGTACAGTATAGTGAGAAGACTCACCTCGCGGAAAGTCTAAGATCTCGTGTCCTTGCTATCACCGAACCCAAACGACGGCTCAACCTCGCCTAAACATAAAAATATCATTTAATACACAAAGAGTTCCACCACTAAAACTTTATGCCTTATCATCATTCCTCAGAGGGTAAAAGACCATTTTACCCTTCCTCGACCTAAAGTCCTTATGTTGACCAAAACCCTAAAAGTCAACAAAAGTCAAACCCTGAGAGTACGCGGGGCGTACTCTAGATGTACGCCGGGCGTACATCGCCAACTCCCCTCCTTGGATCGGGGTCTCCACCCAGTACGCGACGCGTACTGGAAGTTACGCCCTGCGTAACGACCAGAAGCAACCATCCTCCATTTCTGGTCTTAATCGGCTAAGCCATTATTAAAACTTCTAGATCCGACTCTTTTAATGTGTCTAAACCCATAAAGTCGAGACCTTTAAGCCTTGGCAGGGCTGTAAAGGCTCCAACATCACATAACAACCTCTTATTCAAACTCAAGGATCTAGATCTCATGCATGGTGCAATATCCATGACCAAGTTGACATTTTTATGAGTCTACAACTCCAATAGATCAAAAAACATGAAGCATCTAAGCTTATGGAGGCCATTTGCACAAAAGTCTCTACCTTTGGGACTTAAACCCTAGAAAAGGACATCTAAAGCATACAAAAAGAACCAAGTGTCAAGATCCGAACTTTTTACCAGAAATTGGAGCTTTAACCCTTGCAAAGCTCATATCTACACTTGAGCACCACTTCTAGCCTCTCCAACAAGTTCTTCTTCTCCTTTGAAATCTTAAAATGGCAATACAAAGCTTATAATGCACACACAAAGGCTTAAGGACGATGGTACACACTATTTAGGGTTTCACTCTGAGGGGTGGTGGCTGAGAAGTCCAGCCACACATTCTTTTTATAGCCTCATCAAAGGAAATTAGGGTTTGGGTCTGAATGAGTTACACCGGGCATAACCTTGGGTACGCCCCGCGTACCTGAGGGGGAACGCGTCCAAATGAGGCGCGCGAGTACGCGCAGCGTACACCTTGTATGCCTAGCGTACTCGCCTACCATGAAAACCCTAAATCATTAACTTAATCAAGATGCAAGTCCAACAGAAGAATACCTGGATTTCGGGCTGTTACAGTAGAAGCTTATGGTTGAGATGGAATGTCAAAGCTGTTCGGAATAGGTGGCTCATTTTCAAGATTCTTTGCAGTGTCATTGATAATTTCTTTAGTCCATCCTCCTTGTTATCAGCTACTTTGGATTCTCAATAGATCGCCTTCTCTAGCTCATCAAACAATTTTAGGAATTCATCACAAAGGTTTGATAGAGGAATGGTCATGGGATTCTTCGCTGGAAATCTCCTCAGATTGACGATTGGGTGTCTGGAACTTCTTTAGATAAGATTCATCAAGGGTGACATAGTAGGATTTTTCTATCTTTTTTGACTTTTTGTTGAGAACCCTATATGCCTTCGAATTTAGAGAGTACCCTATGAAGATTCCTTCGTCTGCTTTCACATCGAACTTGTTCCTTTGCTCCTTTAAATTGAAAATGAAACACACCTGAAACTGAAGACATGATAGAACTTAACATGAGGTTTTCTTTTATTAAGAACTTCATAAGGGGTGATGAAAAATCTTTTGTTTAGGAGAGATCAATTTTGAATAAAACAGGCTGTGCCGATAGCTTCTGCCCAAAAATGAAGTGGCAGGTTTACAAATGATAACATAGTCCTCGAAGCTTTACACAGAGAACTGTTTCATCTTTCAACAACTTCGTTCTGTTGAGGAGTGTAAGGATCCGAGAAATTGTGAGCAACTCCCTTTACAGTCTAGAATTCTTCAATGACATGGTATTTCAACTCCGAACCATTATCGTTGCGAACGTTCCGAACTGGCTTTCGCAGTTGAAGAAAATAAACCCACGTAAATCTAGAAAAATCATCAACAGTAACTAAGATGTACTTGTTACCACCAATGCTCTCGATGGCAGATGGACCACAGAGATCTATATGTAAAAGACCAAGTGGCTCAATCACTTTGGTGTTTATAATTGTTGAATGACTCTTCTTGCTCTGTTTTCCAAGTTTATATGCCGCATAGACATGATCTATCTCAAACTTTAGAAGTATCAAGCCTCGCACAAGATCACCTACCACGATTTTGTTGATATCCTTGATTTTTAAGTGCGAGAGCCTTCGGTGCCAAACCCAACTATCGTCCAAAGGTTCTTTCATAAGAAGGCATATGGTTGGCATTCCATTGATAGGATTCAGATTCAATGGATACATCTCGCCTTTTCTCTTGGACTTTAGAAGCACTATTTTGGTCTTCTTTTCTATGATCTTTGATCCCTTATCATCAAATGACACTTTCAATCTGGTTCCTACAACTAATTGAGATACAGTAATCAGGTTGTGTTGCACGCCTTCCATATAGGCTACATTCCGAATGGAGGATTATTCGTAATCATTTCGTATCCCTTGATTTCTCTGAGAGAGTTATATCCATATCTGACTCTTCCCCCATCCTTCAGTAATCTATATTCCTTCAATTCATCCTTCCTTCTTGTCATGTGATGTGAATAGCCATTATCATTCTACCATTCAGAGCCAAACATCTCGTCACGAATCAACAACAAAATTTAAAGATATTTTGGAACCCAAAGTTGTTTGGGTCCTCATGAGATTTTCATAGAAATAGGAAATGTAATTGATTCATCAACCAAGTACGATCTTTTCACGAAAGTTGAATTATCTTCTTTTGTTATTTTAAAAACAATAATCCTTTTTTCTTTAGGATTCCTTTTAAAAGGAGTATTGCTTTGTTAATCTTTAATTTGTTGCTTGGCAATCTTTTTCCCAAACTTCTTTTGCTACTTTTTCAAGTATGTTTTGGAATTTTGAAAATGAATTTTAGACTCTGAAACTACTTTTCCTTTTCCGTTTATATATTTTGATATGTTGGCGGATTTTAATATATTGGGTTTTAGAACAAAATTAGGTGTCGTCTATTCCAAAGGTTTCGCTTGTTTTGAAAAAGAGGGTTTTTGAAAAGCCATTTATTTTGAAACCTGTGGAGACAAAGACTGGGGTTTTGAATGACTTTTAGAATTTGGATTTTAAAGAGACTTTCACAATCAGATTAGTAGATCTTTCTTGATTAACGAAGTTGAAATTCTTGGGTCTCCATAAATGCTTTCATTCTTTTAGATTTTTTTGGTATCTAGCATTTTGTTGACGTTTTTTATCAACAAATTTCATAGAAGACAT